ATATATATATATATATATATATATATATATAAATATATATATATATATATATATATATATATATATATATATAAGCGGGCTGTGTCTGTCCTTCTGTCTTCGCTATAGAATCCTAATATATAAAAGGCCATGTGCGCTATTCTCTCTCTCTCTCTCTCTCTCTCTCTCTGTCTGTCCGCAAAATATTTTCGCCGGACATCACGTCAGAATCGGCAGCGATATATGGATACCTTTATACGGACTTTTGTTGAAAATAATATGTTAGATGTTTTAAATGTATAACCACAATTTTATTTAAAGAAGAATGTAGAAAAACAATTTTAATTATGCAACCGGAAAAGTGTTTAAACTTGGGACAAGAACGCAATTTAACAATGACGTCGCTTATTGTTTACACTTAAAAAAAGAGCACGAAACTGATGACGTCATTTTCCGAGTTTAGAAAAAAAAGAAATGATTTTAATGAACTATTTCATTCAAATAGTGCTAGATTTAGAGCTAGACTATGTACGCTATGAAAGGTATACAATACGATTTTCTCGGCCTAAACTTAAAAAAAATTATTTTATCCATTTGGATTCTAGATCTAGAGATTCTAGATCATCTAGATCTAGAGATTCTACGTAAAAACTAGACTTACACAGATGTAGACCCTACCTGGATCTAGAATCTATTCAAATAATACATTTTCTATATTAAAGTATTTCAGGCCTTTATTACTTATTGAAATCTTTGTATATCTATGCAATTTGCTAATCTCTATAATATATAAACGCTAAGTTGTCGGGTGCCCGATAGGGCACTTCCCGGCGCCGCAGGATTTTGCCTTGGGGCGACAGAACACACGGGCCGGTTGGCAGAAAAGCCTACGATGAGGGGGCTGACCGGCGCCTTATATGGGCGAATTAATTAAGCATTCAAATCTCAATGTTTTCGAAAGCCTAAGCGAAGCTGGGCAGCATGCCTAGTTTAATTATAAATGTCAAAACAAATAAATAATTACATTAGAATATAATGAAATTGTTTAACACTATTCGTGTTTATAAAATGTTTTTTGTCCATAATCAGAATTAAATATATCGTCATCATAAACGCTAAAGCATTACAGCATAATGAAAGTTTTTGAAATCAGAGTTGGAATAAAACCACGTTTTTCGATATAATAGAAAAACATTGGGAATTAACAGCCTACATTTAACTAAATGTCGGTATTTTAGTTCAGATCATATATTTTTTAATTAACTACTGCTTCTTTGTGTTCCTTAAAGATCATTTTTAACATAGTGATAGGTATGGGTTAGATCACTGTATTGCTCACACACCTTTTTACTGTCCGGTCACTTTATGTCAATTATCCAACCCAGTGTATACCTAGGTGTGACATTAATGTCGCTCTACACAATTGTGGTGGTGAGGTGGGGGGGGGGGGGGGGAGATAACCAACTCAGAGTGAACATAGCGTCAGTTTTTAGATGAATGTTCTAAACATACATATATATTACACATGTATACTGATCCAGAAATAGATTTAAATAAGTAGCGAGTGGTATTATGACAATATTTTTTTTTACAGAGGGGTCCATTGGAGGAGGGGGGTTGTAACTTGTTTCATATAATTTTTTCATCGTATCACTATCGCCCACACTGTAAGAATACTACTACTTCATCGTGACGACGTTTGTTGACCTTGTCAAAATTTCCCCACCGCTACGCAGCTTGCCCATAAGTAAATTTAAATAGAGGTGCCACATCAGTTGTATTTGTTTCTGTATTGTAATTTTCAAAAATTAATCACACGATTCAAACTGTATATATAAAGTAATTTAAATTATGTGTGAAGTTTTATGTATAACATTTTCTAATGCAATTATTCGAAGGCAAATACATATACAAATTTGCCTTAAAACTTAACACCCGTCTTGCCAAGTGGTACTACCTGTAGAGGATTTTTAAAAATTCCAATGCATCGTAATGGTTATTTTTAGAATGGCAAAACTGATGCAGCTATTAAAACGTGTTTGTAAACGTCGACACTACTAGACTAGTACAATAATGCTTAATTGCTGCATGAAAAGAAATCTTGTGATTTACATAGATGTGCCGACCCAAAAATATTTTTTTAACAAATATCATTGTTTAAAACTTTGAGTTTAAAAAGTTTCCAAAAAGGCGCCACTTTGCTGAAAATGGCCAGAGGGGGAGCGGTCGCTCCCCCTGCTCCCCCCCCCCCCCCCCTTGCGTACGCTACTGATGATAGTGTAGTAGAATTCTACTTTGAAACTCTGTCTAGGATCGTGTGGTGCCAACAATAAATTTAGTTTGAAGTTTCTAATTCTAAGTAAGAGAAAACGAGCTTTAAAGGACTATTAAAAAACAAAATTGCACGTGCTCTACAGCGACGCGTCATGCGCTAGAGTGTAGAGCGATCACTAAATCAACATCAAAGCATCTGAAATGTTCGAAATTAAAAGATTAAGATTATATACAGAATAACAATCTTATTATATTAACAGAAGCGTAGCTAAGGGAGGGCGTGAGGAGCGGCCGCCATAAGGCGCCGACCTAAAGAGGACGCCAAACGTGGTAGATAATAATATACAGACGAAATAAAGAATGTTGACTGCTGCTTGGCATTACGGACTTTTGTTTTCTATATCTTTTGTGGGACACCAAAATAAAAAGGCAAACCCACTGGTAAAAAGCGCCCCCGACTTGTCCAAAATGAGGTAAAGTGGGGGGGGGGGGCGATATTTTCCCCAACGGGAATAACTATTTAGAGGTCTAATTTGAAGAGGGGGCGCAAAATAAATAGTTCGTCTTGGGCAACGAAATAGATCGCTAAGCAATGTAATTAATTATTAGGTATTAATAATGGCGATTGCACATTTTTTGCGCTCCCATATGGCTGGCGCCCTAGGCGGCCCGCCTAGTTCGCCTTATAGGTAGTGCCGGGCCCTGCTTATGGCCTAAGTTAAACAATCTGAGTAATTTCATGTCATGCAAACATTGGTGGGAGTATTCGTAAAACTTACTACTCGAAAGGTTATTAGAACTGCAAAGGCTACCTTAATAGTATAAATCAAATATATTAAATTCAGTTTTGCAATTAATTTTTACAAGTTTTACATAACTTAAATTTATAACGAAATATCTATTTAAACGAATGATATACTTTGTAAATTTTTCTTTTTCTTTAAAATAGTAAAAAAAAAAATTAAAAATTATTACTTTAAAAAGCTACCTCCCCTGTACAAATACCAAATGACGTAGTCTTTGTTTACTGTTTCACAAACAATTGGTTTATATAAGAAAAATACGGCACCTGGACAAATCTAACGACAAGAGGTTTTTCCGACGGGAATAATGTTTGTTAACCTCCAGGGTCGGTCTCTGAACTCACAAAATATTAGGGCAGAAGCATAGCGAACCCTCCCGGCGCCGGGGGACAAACTTTCAATTTGCCCCCCCCCCCCCCCGATATATTTTATAATTTATTATTCAAAACTGCAGCTAAAATGAGTTTTTAATTTTTTCAACCCATTTTGGCGAACTTAGGGTCGGCGCAGGGGACATATGTACCCCGGTCAGTCGAGGTCAATTTTGACCCTCTCTTCTAGGACTTTGCCCCCAAGGCAGGTGCCTGCCAAATTTGAAGCTCCTGCGGCGCCGGGAAAGTGGTCCCGTATCGTGCACCCGTCCCGACCACTTTATATATATATATATATATATATATATATATATATATATATATATATATATATATATATATATATAGTGTGTGTGGTGTGTGTGTATCATATTCCATATACTTTTGTAAGTATGTGTATACGCATGTGTAAATGTATTCACATATATTTTTTTTCTGGATGTATTTAATTTTTTACCCCCCCCCCCCCTAACATGGATTAACACATAAGTTATTACGATTCTCAACCAAACCGCTTACCTCGGGCAAATTTTGCAACGTTGAGTTTATCTATTACCCCCACTCACCCACTCCCCCCCCCCACCCCACCCTCACGGCGATTGCTTTAAACTGTGCTCAGATAATACTAACAATTTTTATCTATAGTCGGTTATAAATACAGCTTGATTAAGCATGTTTTCTCTATCATTAGCAGGTTTACGTCATGGTGTCACCCCCCCCCCCCCCCTTTTGCACTTAAAATACTATTTAACTTACTCTAATTAATCACTTATTGAAGCAGAATTATCGTTTTTCTGTATATATTTTGCTATTTTTTTGTCTAGGTTTCCTCCCCCCCCCCCCCCCCGCGACGCCTCTGTATCCAATATTTGATAAGGGTCGGACAAAAACCACACAATAAAGTTTTTATAACCACATTTATTTTAATAAACACTGCACACACTTTATCTCTCATTAATTAAATTTGAAATTCTTATGTTACAAAATTATATGCTTTAACTCTTTAAACGATGGTAAGGGGTGGAAACAGGCGTTGTAACTGAAATAGCAATATAAACATAAAGTGATATTTCAACGCCAAGATAATATATTACTGATAGTTAAAATTGATCTATATTGTCACGATTGTGTTTTTTATACTTGTATATAATTTTTTAAATGTGTTTAAGGATTTAATAGAAAAGATGAAATTTCCACTGACGGTTGCAGAGAGGGATGAGCTCTGTAGTGCTTTTGATGTGCATTTAAATGGCTGGTTCAATTACATCCAATTTTTGAAGGCAGTAAACAGAGCATTCACAAAAGCCCCCAGACAGTCATTGTTGTTTTTAACATTCGTACCAAACATTTACATAGAAAAGTAAGTACAACCAAACGTTGTTTTCTCTCTTTGCAGCCGTAATGTAATTTTAAGCGGAGGTTAAACCCCCAAATTGGAAATCAGGTAGTTAGGACAATTTTAAGTGATTAGGAAGTTGTAAATAGCATAACAAATTCAGAAAAATGATAGAAATGCTCAGAATTATTTTTAGGTTGCTTAATTATGCAAAACAGGCGAATTAAGTCATTACTCTAATTAATATAAAAATTCATAGAAATACTAGCAACATTTAATCAACCAAAGTAATATACAAAAATGCTCAGAATAGAATTTAGTTGCTTTTTTTTTTAAAAACATTTTTGAAACATTGAAATATCCGATTTAAATGATTTTTTTTCTTTTTTTTTTTTTGGGGGGGGGGGGGGGTGGAGGGGTTAACCTCCCCTTAAAGGTCAAATGGTAGGTATGTAAAAACTTCAATCTAGCTGGTTGTAAAAACATTATGGTTACAGTTTTTGTTTTCTTATTTCTATCCAGCAAATATTTATTATTTCTTTCCTCGTGTGACAGAATATGACCAAAGAAATCTAAAGTAGGCTAACCAAAAAGTGTCGTGGGTCTTTATATAACAATTTTACTTATATTATTACTTTTAATGGCATGGTGGTATAACATCAAATTAAAGAACGTGTTCGCAATTTAAGATTGGCAGGTTAACATCGTTGTTTATATGGCCAAGACACTTAGACTTTAAAAAATTCCACCCCCTTATTACATCACTTAAGCGCTTAATCGTTTTCATTAATTACATCCGATAAAATAGCGCTCATAAGATACCCATAAAAAAAAAACTTAGTCCGCTGAAAAATTTCTACAAAACAAGGACTGTCATCTGGTGTTCTTTTTCCTACGTTTTCTTTAACTTGCTTTCGCCGTTCTGTTTATTTGTTTATTTATTTGTTTGTTTTTCCAATCAAATCTTGCGATCGAAATTTCGGGCACTTCCAGTTAGCTAGCGCGCTGAAATTTTCAGGGAAGCTTTGTTTCCGATGACAATACAATATTCAATTGTTATTATTACTAAATTGATCCATGGAAAAGTTTTATTGATCATTTTGGACCCCTATTTATTTTTACCAAAAAAAGGACATAACCCAGTAATTGTAATTTGATGAAAACAAGGTTCGGTACTTTCCCTCTTCAAGCTTACTGAAGGAGCGAGCACGCGATTGGCTGAGTAGTGGTCACGCGGTGTTTGTGTACAAACCTATGCAAATCTGACTGATCAGGAAGTAGAATGTTGATGGTCAAATGGTTTGCACGCGAGGGCAAAATGGTGAAAGAAACGGCAACACTGAAGAAACGTCGATTGAAAAGGCACGTGTTTTTTTACGAGTTGTCTTCGTTTACCCCAAAAAAAAAAGTGAATGCGAGAAGATAAAATCGATAGCAATATTTGAATGCAAACAAACAGACAAAGGACTAAAAAGTAGAAAATAATTATAATTAAAAACGTTTTTTTAAAAAAACCCACGTTTTCTGATTGAACTAAAAGTAAATAATTTATTTTAGTGCATAATTATATAAAAGCTTGTTATTATAACGTTTTTATGCATTTATTTTTTAAATTTTATTTTAGTTATTTCAAAAACAAAACATAGCCCAGATTACGCGCAAAATTGCATCATTCTTTGCTAAGCTGCTTAAACATGTTTCATAAATCTGCCATGTATTCATATATATATATATATATAATATATATATATATATATATATATATATATATACTATATATATATATATATATATATATATATATGTATATATATATATATATATATATATATATGGGACGGAGTGGTCTAGCTATTGGACCCTCCCGTGGCGGCCGCCCTTGCGAAATTAAAAAATGATTTTTTTACAGAATCCTTCCCTATAGTGGTATAATGAACTCCCCAAAGTCTCATGGCTATCGGATGAACGATGCCAATCCCCTGCGAATTTGAAATATTTTTTTTTCGCAGAAACTTCCCCAGCAATATTCTCAACAACTTTCCAAGTTTCACGGCGATGTGATGAGAGGTGTAGTAATGCAAAAGGACAGAAAGACAGACACACAGACATACATTGCTAATGATAGAGAAAACATGCTTAATCAAGCTGTATTTATAACCGACTATAGATAAAAATTGTTAGTATTATCTGAGCACAGTTTAAAGCAATCGCCGTGAGGGTGGGGTGGGGGGAGTTGATGAGTGGGGGTAATAGATAAACTCAACGTTGCAAAATTTACTCGAGGTAAGCGGTTTGGTTGAGAATTGTAATAACTTATGTATTAATCCATGTATGGGGGGGGGGGGGGGGTAAAAATTAAATACATCCAGAAAAAAAAATATGTGAATACATTTACACATGCGTATACACATACTTACAAAAGTATATGGAATATGATACACACACACACACACTATATATATATATATATATATATATATATATATATATATATATATATATATATATATATATATATATATATATATATATATATAAAGCAATGTATGTCTGTCTGTCTGTGTGTCTTTTATGCATTACCACACCTCTTATCACATCGCCGTGAAACTATCCCCGCGGCAACGCGCGGGGGTCGGGTACGCTAGTATATCTATCTATCTATCTATCTATATCTATCTATATATATAAAAAGCAATGTATGTCTGTGTGTGTGTCTGTGTGTCCTTTATGCATTACTACACCTCTCATCACATCGCCGTGAAACTTCGGGAAGTTGTTGAGAATATTCCTGGGGAGGTTTCTGCGAAAAAACATTTCAAATTCGCAGGGGTGGCACCCGGCAGGGCGCGATTTGTTTTTTCTCTATATACGGTATATAAAAAGAAAAGTCTATTTTGATTTCACACTATTCATCCGATATGCATGAAACTTTGGGGAGTTCGTTATAACCCTCTAGGGAAGGGTTATGTAAAAAAAAATTTAATTTCGCAAGGGCGGCGCCACGGGAGGGTGCGGTTTTTCTCTAAATACGGTATGTAAAAATAATAAAAGTGAATTGCAGTGACACCGTTCATCCGATAGGCATGAAACTTTAGGGGTGTTGATTAGGACACTCTGAGGAAGGGTTCTGTAAAAAAAAATCATTTTTAATTTTACAAGGGCGGCGCCACGAGAGGGTGCGATTTATCGCTATATACCGTATATAAGAATAATAAAAGTGAATTGCCGTGACACCTTTCACACGATCGCCACGAAACTTTGGGAAGAAGTTGAATTTATTTCTTGAGGAGGTTTCTGCGCTAAAACATTTTCAAATTCGCAAGGGCGACGCCACATGAGGTTTCGAATCAGGGGCGTATCCAGGTTATCGGGGTAGGGGGAGCGAAAATAGCAAAAAAGGTACCGAATTTGTAATATCTTTTATATATATATATATATATATATATATATATATATATATATATATATATATATTAGCTGTATGTTATTGCTTCACTATGATGTAAAATAAATTTAAAGTAGCACTCTGAAGTAATTAAAAAAACACAATGTAGGCCGACAAAATTAAAAAAAAAATGTATCACTCTAAACAAAAACATATATATATATATATATATATATATATATATATATATATATATATATATATATATATATATATATACACTACAAACAAAAACAATGAACGCAGCATAATCTGTTTCGTAATCCTTGTAAAGCAAGTTAATAAAAAGTCTAGTGACAATTTGAGCGCAATTCCCTTATGTTATCCATAACAATTTTTAATTTTTTGTGACCGAACGAAAGGATATTTTTTTTTTGCGCTAAAAAAAAAGACAACTATATTAACATATATCAACGGAAATAGTTTTATTTTAACGAGTAGGCCTACACGATGCTCAGTTTAAAAAAGTAGTAAATATTATCCTAGGCCTACACGATGCTCAGTTTAAATGTTCTCAATTAATTTTTTGTGACCGAACGAAAGGATATTTTTGAAAACTTTCTTCGGCAATATTGTTCTAAATTATGGCAGGAATCGATTGGTAAATGTTTCAAGTCGCTAAATGGTCTGGTTGCCGAGATATGGGCAAAAAACTGCATTTTTTAAAAGTTTTTTTTTCTTTTCCGGGAAATCAAGGAAGGAATTCCGGGAATTTTTTTGGCCCCCAATCATCCTCAGAACTTGCTTAACATATTTGCTTTTGGAACTAGTCCTCGATGTTGCTTCGTTGAGGAGGAGATACGACTTAAAGCTGCGGACACACATCCATTAATTCATTCATCCATCCAGAAATGACGAGTTAATAATCACAACTGTCCGTATGGAAATTGCGCTAAAAATTACATAATAATTCCTGGGACACTAAGACTAGCGAAAAGAGGAAATAATCAATATCTTTTTATTCGTTTTTACAAAAATAATGTTGTCTACCATCAGAATTAAATATATTGTCATCACAAATGCTAAAGTATTACAGTTTAATGAAAGTTTTTTTTTAAAAATCAGAGTTGATATAAAAGCCAGCTATCAATGGTCTTACATTTCAGATCATGCACTAGTTAATTAGATACTGACTTTTTGTGTTCTTTAAAGATAATTTTTTTAACATAATGAGAAGGTATGGGTTAGATCACTGTATTGCTCACACACCTTTTACTGGTAATTGCAAAAACAATACTCACAGAGATTTACGTTTCAAAAGCTATGATTCTGGTGGCATGGTACTTTGGTACATCGTTACGCGTGACATTAATGTCGCTCTACACAATTGTGGTGGTGAGGTGGGAGTGGATAACCAACTCAGAGTGAACATAGCGTCAGTTTTTAGATGACTGTTCTAAACATATTCAATTACGCACGTATACTGATTCAAAAATAGATTTAAATAAGTAGCGGATAATTAACTGTGCGATCAGTGTTAGTTTAAATTGAGTTGTTGTTTTTTTTAATACAAAATATTGTATTATTCAAATATAATATAGATCTAGATCTAGTAAAATAAAATAATAATTAATAGAAAGTTGATACTGTTTCACATAATTTGAAATCGTAATCAAACTGTCATAATACTACTACTTCATCGTGATGACGTTGTTGACATTGTCAAAATTTCCCCACCGCAACGCAGTTCGCCTATAAGTAAATTTAAATAGAGGTGCCACATTAGTTGTATTTGTGTCTGTATTGTAATTTTTTTTTTTAATTACAAGATTTAAACTGTATATATAAAGTAATTATGCTTGAAGTTTTATATGTAGCATTTTATAATTCAATTATTCCTAAGCAAATACATTATACAGTTGCCTTAAACTTAACACCCCTCTTGCCAAGTGGTACTACCCGTAGAGGTTTTTTAAACATTGCAATGCATCGTAATGGTTATTTTTAGAATGACAAACTGATACAGCTGCTAATTTGTGTTGTAAACGTTGACTCTACTAATCTATTACTGTTATAATTAATTGCTGCATGAAATAAATCTTGTGATTTGCATAGATGTGCCGATCAAAGATAATTTTGTAACAAATATCAATGTTTAAAACTTTGAGTTTAAAAAGTTTCCAAAAAGGCGCCACTTTGTTAAAAATAGTCAGAGGGGAAGCAGCCGCTCCCCCTGCTTCCCCCCCCCCCCCCCCCCCCGCGTACGCTACTGGTTCGAATTTTCTCTATTTACGGTATATTAAAAAATTAAAGTCGATTGCAGTTTAACACCTTTCATCCGATCGATATCAAACCTTGGGGGGGGGGGGGGGGGGGGTTGATTAGAAGACTCCAGGAAGGGTTCTGCAACGGCGCCCCGGGAGGGTTCGATTTTTCTCTATATATGGTATATAAAAAATAAAAGTCAGATGCGGTTCGACACCTATCATCCGTGTGCCTTGAAACTTTGGGGAGTTGATGAGAATACTCCTGAGAAGGTTTCTGTGAACAAAATAATGAAAATATTATATGGGTGGCGCCTGCGATGGTGCGATTTTCGTCAATACACAATTTGGCGCCCAGAGTTCCAGAGCGGTGCCTCTGCGTTCGTGTAATCAGGGGCTCCCGAGAGCGCCCCTCTACGTCCCTGACACATGGGCTGTCACCGAAGTGTGTTCTACTTCAATATTTTGGTGAGTGATTAACGTAAGGTTTTCATGCGGTAGTGTTGGTATTGTAGGTAAACCCGTGTCGTTGTATTTATGATCTAAGCGTAGGCATTGTTTACATTTAAATAACTCAGTTTTAGTAAACAAGATCACGCGTCTTAGAACATAGGATTGGTAACGCATTGATGAAGCCCTTCTTATATATTTCATCAGACTTTCTTATATCCCCGCGGATACGCGCCGGGACGGGTAAGCTAGTCTATCTATATAATGGCTACAGGACATTACCCCCCTGGATATTTCCCCCCCGGACATTTCCCCCCCCCCCCCCCCGTATTTACCCCCCGGTGCAATTACCCCCCTGTCAATTACCCCCCCTGTCAATTACCCCCCCGGGGAATTACCCCCCTCCTCTCAAGTTAAAATCCTAACTCTAACTAGGATTTTATCCATATACAGGGGCGTAGCGAGGGGGGGGGCGGGGGCAGCGGACCGCACCGGGTGACACCATTAAGGGGGGTGACACCAAGGCAAAAAATAGCAAAATATATAGAGAAAAACTCGAGGGGGGTGCATATCGAAAGTTTGAAGGGGGGGGTGCAAATCGAAAACTTGAGGGGGGTGCAAATCGAAAGTTTGAAAGTTTGTCCCTTGGAAGGGTCTCTATGTCTCTGGGGGGGTGACACTATTAAGTGCCGCCCCGGGTGACACACGACCTCGCTACGCCACTGTCCCTATATACTACTTTAATCCAAAGCTTAAGAAAAATACCAAAACCTAAGCATCCACCTTAGCCTAAACCTTCACACAAAACCAAAACCAAAGCTAGACACAACCCTAACCCTAAAACTAGCTTTAACCCTAACCCTAATCTTAACGCTAACCCTAACCCTAACCCTAGCCCTAACCCTAACCCTAACCTTAACCCTAACCCTAACCTTAACCCTATCCCTAACCCTAACCCTAAAACGTAACCCTAACCCTAACCCTAACCTTATCCCTAACCCTAACCCTAAAACGTAACCCTAACCCTAACCCTAACTCTAACCCTGTCCGGGGGGGGGGGGGGGGTAATGTCCTACTGGGCGGGGGGTAATTGAGAGGGGGGTAATTGACAGGGGGGGTAATTACTCTGGGGGGTAATGTCGGGGGGGAAATATCCGGGGGGTAATTGACAGGGGGGAAATGTCCTGTTCCCCTATATAATATATTAAATGCAATGTATGTCTGTATGTTTGTCTTTTATGCATTACTACACCATTCATCCAAACTTTAAGAAGTTGTTGAGAATACTACTGGGTAGGTTTCTGCTGGGAGTTGATTAGAAAACTCCAGGTAAGGGTTCTGCAAAAAAAAAATTCTTTTTTTTTTTAAATTTCGCAAGGGCGGTGCCACGGGAGTTTGCGATTTTTCTCTATATACGGTATATAGAAAATAAAAGACGAATGCGGTTTGATACCATTCATATGATCGCCATCAAACTTTGGGGAGTTAATAAGAACACTTCAGGTGAGGTTTCTGTAAAAAAAAAACTTTTTAATTTCGCAAGGGCGGCGCCACGGGAGGGTGCGATTTGGCGCCCTGGTCTTTCCCGCTATGGTAGACAATGGATAAGATGTGGCGTTACAGTCGCTTACTAAATTGAATCAGTTGTGTGCGTAAAAAAAAATCTAAACAGTTTCGTCACTTTGCGAATGATGCAATTAGCATCTATTTTTAGACGATCCAATCAAAAATTGAGATCGAGCATCTATTAATAGACCATTAGTAATGCTAACACATTGCATCAGTCACACTGATGTTTAAAGCGCGTCAAATTTTTACTTTCTCGAATATACGAAGTATTGAGACGTTTTACACCTCACTGGTACGGAAAAACATAATTTTGCAATCTTGTCCGTATGTCTGTGTGTGTGTGTGTAAACACGATAACTTGAGTACCGTTACAGCTAGATTGATGAAATTTCATATATAAGTATTTTATCAAAATCGTAGATCCTGATCAACTTTTGAGTGATTTCCGATAACCGGAAAAGATACTTTTTCTACTTTGAATTTTTCAAAAGCCTATAACTTGAGTACTATTTCAGATAGATAAATGAAATTTCACATGTAAGTAAAAGATCTAATTTGCTACCTTCTTTCACATTTTGAGTTATTTCCGTTGACCGGGAGTGCTAATTTACGCTATTTCCGATTTCTCAAAAACGCATGTAAATTTATAAAGTACTAATAATATTGCGCACTATTATGCACATTTTGTTTTGGCGTTCGCTTGGTGCGCAATTCTTTTTTCTATGAGATTCTATTCTATTTTTAAAAGTTTAAGTAATTAAAAATCATGTCTATATTCCAAGTTATATAAGAATATTCGAGAAAGTTTAGGGGAGATCTCTCCCGGTTTATTTTTTTTACGTATGAAAAAATAATCCTGTTGATTTGTGTCACTTTAGTGAAGGACGCAATCTGCATCATTGTAAACAGGATGCTGTTTGGCACTCTGAGTTATCATATGAGCACTATGGCCCATATGTTAGGTTTAAGTAGCCAGGGACAGTACGCGACGCCTAACGGTAGTGTAATCGGGTGCTCCCGAGAGCGCCCATCTACGTCCCTGACACATGGGTGGTCACCGAAGTGTGTTCAGCTTATTATTTATTCTGAGTGATTAGCCTACACTGAAGGTTTTCATGCGGTAGTGTAGTTAAACCCGTGTCCCGATATTTATGATCCAAGCGCAGGCATTGTTTTAGAATAACAGTTTTAGAAAACAAGGACACGTGTCTAAGAACATAGGATTGGTAACGCGTTGATGAAACCCTTCTTATATATTTCGTCAGACATTCTTCTATCCCCGCGGCAATGCGCGGAGACGGGTACGCTAGTTGAGAATAAATGCAGTGCAAAATGAAATGCTTATTAGATTATTAGTAGTAAAGTGAGTAAATGTTTTAATGAATTTATAAAAGTGTAGTGTAACTACTCGCGTAAAATCTTGACAGGTATTTGCCGCCAGATATATTGGGTTATTGATAAAGTTTCATATTACTATTCTTTAAACTGTCATATAAGATTACTGGTAGGCTAATTTCTTTAAAAATCTTGGTTGTTTTTTATTTTTAGGCAGGCCCAACATCTTTGGCAATTACAATATATGATTTTATCTATGAATTAAAAGAAATCGTAAGTTTTATTAGTTTATTAGATTAATTTTTATTTGCCATAATGACATTTTAATTATACTAACTAGATGGACATTATGTTGCTTATAAATAAAAATTTAAAATTAAATGCAGTAAATTTCATTTGAAGCCAGTAAAGCTATTGCAGTATTACATTTAAATTTTATTTTCCTACAGCTTCTAAAGAAATTTAAAACTTTGCGGGGAGCTTTCAAGTTTTTTGACCTCAACCATAATGGCTTTATAGAAGAAACAGAAATGAAAAAATCACTGACTTTGTTGGGATATAACTTGTCTAATCAGGATTTTACTGACATATTTGAAGTATTTGATCAAAGTCAAAGAAAAGGGCTTTCTTTCGAAAATTTCAAAAATACTTTACTAAATGTCCTATAATTATTATTGGTTCTTTTTTTACACTTTAGATATATCTTATAGTCTGCTTTAATTTTTCGTGATGTTATTAATTTTTATACTTATTTTGTATTATAATTATTTTGCATTGTAAAATAACAGAATTGTAAATCATCAAAAAGGCCTTCAACAGAGAACCGTTTAGAATTTCATCCAAATATGACAGCGAGAAGCAGTGGCGGATTAAGGGGGTGCTGAAAATGCTGCAGCTAGGGGCCCCCGATTTTTAGGGGCCCCATATGTACCGCCTAATTGTTGGTTTTCACTATAAAAACTAAAGTTTCAATGTTTGCATCACAAGCTTCAATTTTTTTTCAAAATTTCTTAAACTTGCACACACTTACATATAAATACCACCGGTCAATCTTCACCTCCTACCCAGACATCTATGACATTAAGATACGTCAGTCCATCCTTCTTCCTTCCTTTCATCATCGCTATAGATTTTAGAACCATAAGAGCGACACACCTTTTTTTTTATATCTAACATATAATGTTCAATTCTTTTTTTTTTCATGAGCATATACATACATGCAATTTTATACATACAAAATATTTTTGTGTTATTGCATGTTTGACTAGGGAAATTGGTGCGCATGATTGATGGTGCGGCCGTATATTGAACGAGTGAATGTGTGACGCGGTACGAAAGATAGTGACGTTTTAGGGTAGAGAGTTGGTTGCTATGAGTTTATATGTGAGTGAGTCTAATCTTGATCGTCGGTATGAATGGACGTGTACTGGTCCGTACGCCTCAAGTTGGGAGATAGATGTATATGTATGAATAACGTATTAGACTAGGAATATTGAGTTTGCCTTATCTCTGAGCGCCGTATGTTGGACTGAACGTGAGATAGCCTTATTGGTTCCCAAGGTCAGAACTTCTCTCCCTGGTATTGGAGATGAACCAAATGGTAGTTGGCCGAATCAAGTGACTCAAACCCTTTCACTGCACAACCTAAGCGTAACAGTTATCATGTTTTATAAACAGTGCTACTTATATTTACATTATGATTTATACCTTACTTTTACTAACATATCTTTGGCAACTAGTGAGATTAGGTTTTGAAAACATTGGTTGATTGATTCCTAGTAAGTAACAAAACGTCTAAACTAAAATTTCAGCATAAAATTGGGTATATAATGACTTGATAAATAATTATATTTCTTGTTATGAAAGGACAATCGTTTATTGAGGGATCTGCAGGTGGTGGTTCGTTATGATTAATCCACGACAAATATACAAACATACAGAATTGAACATTATATGTATATATATATATATATATATATATATATATATATATATATATATATATATATATATATGTGCGTGCGTGTAATCGTGTGTATACACGCGTGAGTGTGTGTAAGCGTGTGTGCGACAGTCCGGAAAAGTTTTAATAATTACAGTGTATAATTTTCGTTTCAAGTATCACACCTCAAGTGCTTTTTACTTGCATCGCATATATTTATTATAATTTGATGGTTAGGGTTTATTTATATAACGACTAAAATGTTTTGTATAGTTGTCAATGTTTTTACTCTTTTGCATAACATAAATTAAATATTAAATAAACGCACATTGCTAAAAGATATTAGACGGATCAATGTCAAATAATACTTTCGCTTAGATTACTAGAAAAATTGGATACATTTTAATAACAGTGTCAAAAAAAACTAATTAATTAAAATATTGTACAATTTTGCCATAAGAGGTAATTTAAATAGAAATTAAACGCAAGCTAATTAAAAAAATGTGAATGTAAGAGGACATTATTGTTAGAATATTATAATTCATGGATTGATAAAATGCACTGTGGTAGGTAAAACACGGATATTTTAAATACTGCCTTTTGTTTATTTTAAGGATAAGTTGGGGTATTATAGTCGTTTTATAAGTTGAATCGGGCGGTTCCGCCGGCGCCGCGGCCGATGATTTTAGATTTGTTTATTTTTCGTATGTTTATGCGTATATCCAAGCTTCAGTGGCTTAGATAATACTGAGAGAGCCGCCTAATACAAAGGCTAACGTGTATAATATCTTTTGCTTAATCCCCATCTGTTGACTTTTTGTTTTGCCTATCTTGGAATACTAGCGTATTTTCATTAGGATTTGTTTACTTATTGTTTTTCGTTTCATTTCACGCACACACACAAACACACACACACACACATATATATATATATATATATATATATATATATATAATATAAGCGGGCTGTGTCTGTCCTTCCTTCCGTCCGTCATCGCTATAGATTTTGGGACTATAAAAGTAAACTACGCACCATGCTGTGCTTTTCAGTGCACCGCAGTGTCTTACTATAATTTACAGAGTAGGGTTTGTTTATATAACGGCATAGAGCTATTTTATAATTTCCACTGTTTGTACAATTTTGCATAACGTAAAGAGAATATTAAATACACGGACATTGCTAAAACTTATTAAAAGGATCAATGTCAAATATCGTTTTCGTTAATATTCCCAGAAAAAATGGATACATTTTCATAAAAGTAGGTCGAAAAAACTAATTAATTCAACTATTTTTTTGGTAATTTTTTTGCAAGGGAGGTAGTTTGAAAATATATTTAACTCATCAATAATTTAAGTTAATTTTTTTTTATTACTACCGCATTGATTATTATATGTTTAGGTTCATAAGTAAAATAGAAAAATGTTAAGATTATTTATATTATTTTCTAATTAGTCTATGATCTCTCAAAATCACTATTGTTTGTTTTACGGTGTTAACAGATGGTGAAACTTTAGAATTATAGAATAGAGAATGCTGGAAAGGCTCTCTCTGGTCGCGGCCGCCTGGGAAAAGCGTGTTTTCGATGGTGATTCTAATTACATTGCCAGTGTGTTTTCTTAGAACCATAAAAGTAAACACCACTTGCCGTACATTTATTTGCATCGCATTGTTTTAATGTAAGTTATGGAGTAGGATCTATTTATGAGACTTAATTATTCCTAAAACGCGTGTTGTTTGGTGGTGATTCTAATGTTGTGGTTGTGCTGTGGTTGTTTTTTGGTTGTGTTGTGGTTGTGGTTGTGTTATGGTTGTGTTGTTGTGGTTGTGTTGTGGTTGTGTTGTGGTTGTGTTATTGTTGTGTTGTGGTTGTGTTTTTTGTGTTTGTGTTGTGTTTTTGTTTGTTTTGTTTTGTTCTGTTCAAAAGTTGGTACATTTAAAAAAGATTTACCGTGGCGGAGCACGGGATGCAGCTAGTATATATATATATATGTGTATTTATATATGGGGTACCAAAAACATTTCAGCCGGGGGACCCGCTCAGCCTTAATCCGCCCCTAGCGAGAAGTGTCCGTAAATTCACTAAACGTAATATGACGTCACGTTGATTAGACCAATTTTATTCCAACCATTTACAGCTAGACAGCCACAAATGACACCAAATAGTTCGGTCTACAGTCCCACTAATCCAACTTCTTTAATAATAAAAAAAATTCTCTGCCTCCAACCTCAGACTATCTTAGGAAGAAAAGTGTGTAACATGAATTACTTCAGCATTACAATAAACACATTGAAGGGTGGATTCACTTAAAGATTTGAGCAATTCAAAACAAATGCAAGTACTCTGACGTTCATAGTAGATTCTCTCATCACAAAAACAAATGAGGTTAATTAACTTTGAGCTATTTGGAATTGATGCTGGCTCGCTTCAAATGCAATTGCTAGGTTTGAAAACCAAACATTATTTGGAGTGGTAGGTTCACAGATCTTAAGAGCAAATTAGGAGAGTTTGATGTCCAGTAAAACATGCACGTTTCGATGCACAAGTAGATAGCTCTAAAAGAAATGCCACAAGTTGGGACACTATTATGTGACGCATGGAATAGTCTTCCAGAATACTACAGTGAGTTAAAGAAGTTGGCATTTGGAGGGCTGACGATCTTCGGGTTCACATATTCATGCGAGCAAGCGTTTTCTTGCATGATGAATATAATAAAAAGTAAAGAAACCAACTAACAAATAAAAATCTAGAGGCGTGCTTGAAACTAAAAACAACTTATGAGCCAGGTTTAAACATACTTTTAAAAGGCACGCAAGGCCAAACTATTGTAAATATTTTAAAATAATTATAGTTTTATAATTTGATTAATGATTTTATCATTCTTGTAGAGCTAGTTAAAATACCTTAATATTTTTTGCTAGAAACGTATGTATGTTTTTATTTGAATAAATATTATTTCATATTGAAAGCTATTTATTTTAAATTATATATATATATATATATATATATATATATATATATATATATATATATATATATATATATATATATATATATATATATATTTATATTTATATATAATCTACATAATTATGTAAAATCCTAATCAAATATCATAATATTGAAATAAAAATGTTAGTGGCTCTTTAAAGCTGGGAAATTTTATAAATTGTAACTTTTGGCTCTTCCGTCTCAACAGGTTACCGACCCCTGACCTAGAGGTTTTCCAGACTTAAATAAACCGGGAGTGATCTCCCCTAAACTTTCTCGAATATTCTTATATAAAACAACAGGGGATGGGAACTCGGGATATAGACATGATTTTTAATCCATTTTAAATACTTAAACTTTTTAAAATAGAATAGAATCTCATAGAAAAAATAATTGCGCACCAAGCGAACGCCAAAACAAAATGTGCATAATAGTGCGCAATATTATTAGTACTTTATAAATTTACCTGCGTTTTTTTTTTTTGAGAAATTGGAAATAGCGTAAATTACTACTTCCGGTCATCGGAAATTACTGAAAATTTGAGAGAAGTTAGAGAATTAGATATTTTACTTACATGTGAAATTTTATTTATCTATATGAAATAGTACTCAAGTTATAGGCTTTTGAAAAATTCAAAGCAAAAATGTACCACTTCCGGTTATCGGAAATCGCTCAAAAGTTGATCAGGATCTACGATTTTGATAAAATAATTAGATATGAAATTTCCTCAACCTAGCTGTAACGGTACTCAAGTTATCGTGTTTACACACACACACAGACACACACACAGACATACGGACAAGATTGCAAAATCATGTTTTCCGTATCAGTGAGGTGTAGAACGTCGAGATTTGTAAAAATCTCGATTTTATTTTTGCACGATTACAAGACTTTCTCTATAGGCCTACTTCGCATATACGAGAAAGTAAAAAGTCTAACATTCACTTTTCTAGACCTTTTCTATGACTTTGCACAAATGATTACCGCGCCTTGAATAATGCATTTGAGTGATTTTTTTGCGTATATAACGAGCAGTTTCTTCCAGGCATCTCTTAGGGGGGGGGGGGGGGGGCGGTAGAAATTTTTCGGGGGGGGGGGGGGCTAAATTCTATTAGTTGTGTGCGTAAAAAAATCTAAACAGTTTCGTCACTTTGCGAATGATGCAATTAGCATCTATTTTTAGACGATCCAATCAAAAATTGAGATTGAGCATCTATTAATAGACCATTAGTAATGCTAACACATTGCATCAGTCACACTGATGTTTAAAGCGCGTCAAATTTTTACTTTCTCGAATATACGAAGTATAGAGACGTTTTACATCTCACTGATACGGAAAAACATAATTTTGCAATCTTGTCCTATGTCTGTGTGTATGTCTGTGTGTAAACACGATAACTTGAGTACCGTTACAGCTAGGTTGATGAAATTTCATAAATAAGTATTTTATCAAAATCGTAGATCCGTATTAACTTTTGAGCGATTTCCGATAACCGGAAGTGGTACTTTTCCTACTTTGAATTTTTCAAAAGCCTATAACTTGAGTACTATTTCAGATAGATAAATGAAATTTCACATGTAAGTAAAAGATCTAATTCTCTACCTTTTGTTAAATTTTGAGTAATTTTCGTTGACCGGAAGTACTAATTTACGCTATTTCCGATTTCTCAAAAAACTAATGTAAATTTTTAAAGTACTAATAATATTGCGCACTATTATGCACTTTTTTTATTTGGCGTTCACTTGGTGTGCAATTCTTTTGTCTACGAGATTTTATTCTTTAAGTATTTAAAATGGAATCAGCATTTAGTTAGCTACACAGAAAATAAAGTGTATTAGACAGAGCAGCATAGAACTTTAACCACATATAATTAACACCCATACAAACATTTTAGACTGATAAGTGAATTGAATTTTTGATTAATTTTTTAAACGTGATACTTAAAATTTGCCTTAAAATTCAGGGATAGACATAGCAATTTAGTTCGAAAAATAAAAAGTTTTAATAATACATAACTGATTGTAGTAGGTATGTCAAACGGCCGTATAAACGACGTTTTTGCCCGCGTCGCCCAAATATAGTAGCTTTTCACTTCATAGTTTCGATAATAAAAATGGATCATATAGTAATATGCATGGTACCATTAACAAGTAGATTTTAAGCCCTCTAATTATGCGTAATTTTTATAGTTGTTGATATTACACAACATATCTCATTTACCAATTGAAAACTATCACCGAGTTGATTTTTCAACGGCAGTCGAGTAACGGATTTTGACCCCTCTCATTCAACTCGCGGGACTTTTTTTAACCGTTCAACGTATTTCTTTACAAGTACCTGTAAAATGTGCACAGTTGAATAGCCTTTAGGGGGATACTAAACAAAAATTGCATGATAGACTAAATATTTTAAATGTTAATTTTTTTAGTGTGTTCTTTAATTTCAATTTTAACTAGATGTATGTAAATGCCTCAAACACCTACCTGGAGGGGTGGGGGTTTAAGCGAGATATTTACTACAGTTGTAACAATGTCCATATAATATATTAATGATCAGTTCACGAGTGCAGAGGTATTTACACTTTGCAGTCAGCTTGGAAATAAACCCTTATTAGATTCCTTTAAATATGTGTAGTCAGTGTTTAAAGCAGTGTTTAGTGAGCATGTGTGCAATATTTTAATGAAATATCTATATATATATAATTCTCTTCTGGGAGACGCTAGAAAACAAGCTGTAAACGCGCTCCCTACCATCCCCACCCCTACATGGTCTTAGTGAGCTGTGGTTCACGCTATGTTTACCTTCGTGGAGTCGGGTTTAGTGACGGCAATTAGGGGCAGATAATTTAGTTTGAAACGATTTTAAACGTTGGGGAGGGGGGTATGGTCCTTAACGAGCTACGTATAGTGTTTTAACGAAATATTTTCAGTGTCAGCGTCGGTACTGTCGAATTCACAAATTATGAATTACTGAAAAGTAGAAAAAACAACAACTAAATAGCGGCGTATGTTATGCCGCGTGCCGGCTCTTCTTTAATAGTTTTCGAGATAAATGTTCCTAACAACTAACACGTGCTATTTTGATAAAAACTGACATTTTGAGAAAAAAGCGAAATAGTGAAAATGCGATTTTTTTTTAGAATAACGAGAAATAGTGAAACTATACAAATAAAATAACATTTTAAACTTTCCAGTTATAAAAGTTGCATCAGGGACCTCTTACTTAGCAGCTAGAACAGATTTTTAAACTGTTTTTTTTAGGTTGCTTTACTATGCAAAATATAGGTGAATTAAATCATTACTCTAAATTACTCTAAGCAAAATATAGATGAATTAAGTCATTACTCTAATTAATTGAAAAAAAAAAATATAGCACACATTGGCCGGCCAATGCGGGCTTTGGTCGTAACATATTACATGTTACGGTCAAAGCCGAAGTCGGGTAAAGCGCGCATTGGCCAATATTGACTTCCGTTGACCGGTCAAAGTCCGAAACT